GGAGGAGGAGGAGGGAGGGGTGCTGACCCGGCCTCAGCCCCATTTATACCCCACCCAGCATGTGGTGGGGTTGGAGGGGGGTAGCCCAGGGAGATACAAATTTATCCTATCCAGCCCTGGCCCATCTGTGCCATACCCGCTGCCAGGGGTGTCAGATGAAGTAGGCAGTGTCTCCATGGAGACTGGCCCGGGACCAACACAGACAGGGTGCACTAGGCTGGGCAGATGGGATGGGGGCATGGGTGGGTGGGGAGTGGCATCCATGAGTGGAAGAGGAGAGCAGGGCTGAGATCATGGGATGGTGACCACATGGGCCAGAAGTCACAGGATGGTGACAGCATGGGCCAGAGCCCGGGGCAGAGCCTGCAATGGGTGCCAGTCCCACACGAAACCACAAAGCAGGGAACCAGCATCTGCTGCAGGGACAACCAGAGAGCATATTGCAGCTCTGCCCTGGGCCCTGGCTCTGCACTGTCACTGTCCTGCAATCCCAGCCCACCCATCCCACGCCAGTCACCGCTGCCTGCCCATGCCCATGCCCCTATCCCATCCATCCTGCTAAGCGCCCCCTGCCCAGTCTCCATGGAGACCCCACCTGCCTACTCCATCCAGCGCCCCCAGTGGTGGATGTGGGGTGATCAAGCCTGGGGTGTCCAAGCAATGAGGCATGTACCTGCTCCTGGGCAGCAGAGGCAGGGATTGCCAGGAAGCCAAGTCTGGCCACCTCACCACCCCTGCCTGGCCCAATGGATTACAGCTCCTGACGTGCCCGAGAGCCACGCACAGGAACAGGGCAGGCTACGCCAGGCAGCACCTTCACACGCAGGGGTGGCAGAACCAGCCATGTGCACCACGGCCTGGGCTGCCCCTTGCACCTGGGCCTGGCAGGGCTGAGACACCAGCTCCAGGCCAGATGAAATCACTTGGTGGGCCACATCCAGCCATATTCTGCCCACCCTGATCCTTTATAAGCAATCCATTTTGTGAATCCAAGAACAGCACAATGAAACAGTTGAGTTAAGCTACTTTTGGAATGAACTCAATGCACATAGAGTATTATGCAGGGGCAAGGGAGAGACAGTACCTCTTAGCTGTAGAGGAAATAATGCACCTGCACTGAGGAACAGATACTGCACTGAAGGGCGGGTACACAAAGACAAAGGCCCATGTCAGAGCACAAGCCAGCACTTCAGAAACTGTGGTTTTATTAGGCATTTATATAATACCAATATACATTGAGATTAATATACATCTCTGCCCAAGCTATTCCAACTATACAATCAACTCTCCAATTAATATCCTCTCTTTTTCCCACAGGGAAATTAAAAACAATTCTGAATAGGAATTCCAACGCTCCTCAGTTAATGGAAGGAGACTGCAATGACCAAACATACACAGGTTTAATTAACCTGTGAAACAAAATTTCATACCAAAACATCTCAGACAAAGCACGAACATTAACAAATTTGGATTTCTTGCAGTCTTTCAGTGACAGTTTCAAAGCATCCAAGGACTAGACAGGTTTTAAATGTACAAAACCAGATTTTTTTTTTTTTAAATGTTTGGCAAGGATGAAAGAAACTTAACAAAACCCAATTCACATTTGAAAAGTTGCAATGTTATTTTCATGGCCAAACTCCAATACTGTGTCCAGTGTTTGTTTCTAATTGCTTGTTACTCATGAAGTCTCCCAAAGAGACGCTAAAGGGATGACGATGCATGAAGACAAGACATTTTGCACACCAGCCAAGTGGGCCAAGGACTCCATGACCACCATGGATTATTTGCATTATCTCATTCTGAATGATAAGGAATCCTGTATTAGCCTGGTTAATTCTATCACAGCTTTTAACCAGCCAGATTCCCAAGTATTGTTGTGCTATTTTCAGAGATGATATACATTAAACATTACTAGCATGCAGTAATCCATAGTGTTATTATTTTTAGTCTTTTGTGCACATGGGCCAGAATTCCATCTCCTCTTGTGTGTCTAAGGCCCCTGGTACACATTACAGACATAGCAACTTGCCACACATTTATAGCAAACCAGCCACAAAGATATTCCACAAAATACGTGTAACATCTTTGTGACTGGTTTGTATGGGCTCCATAAACTGAATGTGTGGCATGCCCCATAATTTTAAAACCAACAATCAGCTGATTGTAAACTTGAGAATCTAGGCAGCCCCTGATCTAGCTGAGGGCTGCCCCAGTCTTGATGTTGGCAATCACCGATTGTCACCAACCGGATGTCCCACAGGGAAATTAAAAACAATTCTGAATAGGAATTCCAACGCTCCTCAGTTAATGGAAGGAGACTGCAATGACCAAACATACACAGGTTTAATTAACCTGTGAAACAAAATTTCATACCAAAACATCTCAGACAAAGCACGAACATTAACAAATTTGGATTTCTTGCAGTCTTTCAGTGACAGTTTCAAAGCATCCAAGGACTAGACAGGTTTTAAATGTACAAAACCAGATTTTTTTTTTTTTTAAATGTTTGGCAAGGATGAAAGAAACTTAACAAAACCCAATTCACATTTGAAAAGTTGCAATGTTATTTTCATGGCCAAACTCCAATACTGTGTCCAGTGTTTGTTTCTAATTGCTTGTTACTCATGAAGTCTCCCAAAGAGACGCTAAAGGGATGACGATGCATGAAGACAAGACATTTTGCACACCAGCCAAGTGGGCCAAGGACTCCATGACCACCATGGATTATTTGCATTATCTCATTCTGAATGATAAGGAATCCTGTATTAGCCTGGTTAATTCTATCACAGCTTTTAACCAGCCAGATTCCCAAGTATTGTTGTGCTATTTTCAGAGATGATATACATTAAACATTACTAGCATGCAGTAATCCATAGTGTTATTATTTTTAGTCTTTTGTGCACATGGGCCAGAATTCCATCTCCTCTTGTGTGTCTAAGGCCCCTGGTACACATTACAGACATAGCAACTTGCCACACATTTATAGCAAACCAGCCACAAAGATATTCCACAAAATACGTGTAACATCTTTGTGACTGGTTTGTATGGGCTCCATAAACTGAATGTGTGGCATGCCCCATAATTTTAAAACCAACAATCAGCTGATTGTAAACTTGAGAATCTAGGCAGCCCCTGATCTAGCTGAGGGCTGCCCCAGTCTTGATGTTGGCAATCACCGATTGTCACCAACCGGATGTGCCCTCACCAGGAGGCATATTTGCTGCCTTACCAGAAGAACCCACAAGGCAAGGCAGTAAATTTTAGCACCTGATTGCTACCACCAGCTCTGCGTCTAGAACTGGACCTGGGGCTGATGCCAACAATGACCATCAGCAATGGCACCAAAGAGTGCCAGATCCTTGGGCTGCTCCCAGTCCTGTGCCCAATCCTGATGTTCAGCTGAGTGTCAAGATCAAGCATGGGGTAGACCCAGAGTCCAAGACAAAATCATCGCATGCATGATCCAAAGGATCAGGTTAGGGATAGCTCCACAGTGACTTGACTGGGATTGAAGGACTTTTATGCCCTATCCCAAACACTACACATCCCGTCATGGCTGTGTAAGACTGTGTGTGTATACTGAGCACGAGGAACTCAGCACTTGCCATAATATTAATGTGCAAGTCCCAGAAAAAAAAGTGATGGAGGAGGGCCCTCATGTTTTAGCCCCAGCAGCTGAGGTTAGGGCACTCACCCAGGAAGCTGAATACCTGGGATATGGGTCTACTTTTTCCTGCAGCTCTCTGGTTACTTTGCACAGTGCTTTAACCATCCTGCCTGCCTGTACACTAATGCCAGGAGCTTGGGGAATAAGCAGGAGGAGCTCATCCTCCTGCTCAGTGCAAACAATTACGATGTCATAGGGATAATGGAGACCTGGTGGGACTCCACCCATGACTGGACCACGGGGATAGATGGCTATACCCTGTACAGGAGGGATCGTGTAGAGAAAAGGGGCGGGGGGGTAGCTCTCTATGTTAAGGAAAAGCGTGACCCACTGCTGACACAGGCAAATCTTTGGGCCTGAACGCAGAGCATCCTGGTTCTCTCTCCGATACAGCTCTGAGCATGGTGGGTTCCTAGCATTACTAAAGAAGATCGCACTTGTTCTTGCACACAAGGTGCAATTCTTTTCCGATGCAGAGTGGAGTGCCACTTGAAGATGAGCCAAGGTACTGTAAAGAGCTGTATCTCTCCCTCATCTGTCTTGCTTCCTTTTTGGGAATGTCACGAATGAATACCCTAAAAGAATTCAGCTTTGTTCTTCCAACCAGCTGTTGCTCAGCTGGAATACTGCAATTGTGAAATCTGCCCTGGAAAATGTGTATTTGTTTTGCTCTGCTTTGTTTTGTCATCTGCCGAAGTAGGAATGCTCCTTTTCATTCTGTGATGGTTGAAAAGAGGGGCTTGGTGTTGGTGTTATATAGCATAATTAGGAATTATCTATATATGTAATGCTGCCTAAGAACTAATTCAGCAAGACCTCTGTTTCCAGAACGCCTATGAGAAGTACACGAATATACAGAATTGAGCTATAAGGTGGAAAACCCTTCCAGATGGGGACTTGTATTTTTTAATATGTAAAGCATTTAGTGACTTTTGAGTGCTATATAAATACCAAATAGCACAGAAAAGATACAAATGGCACGCAACCGACTGTCAGTGCAGCAAATTAAGCTTCTGTTTATAGCAGGAGTGTAAATATAGGGTTAACGGTTAATTCATTTAATGATGAATGTGACACCACTGTGTTATCCTGTAAGAACGTGAATAGAGATTTGCAGCAGACAACATGCTGTGAGCCCAAAAGAATAGGAAACTACTGCCTGCTTTTTTTAAAACTATTGCAAAATGTGGACACAATACTTGGACATAATAGACTGTGTCTGACAACATTTGTACAGTATGTAGCGGAGTGAGCCCCACTCAGCTTCCTATAGTTATCCATATATAGTGACTAAAATTGCAGACACTGAATTAACTCTGAATAACATATGAGCTGGAGTGACAGCCTTCATGTGGTTCTAGAAGGATGAGAATAAGATAGATGGCTGTTTGTGTAGATGTACTAAACTGCAAATCCAGGGGTCCATAGAGTATGGAAAATATGCCAAAAGCTGGGTTGTCCCTTCCATCCCACAGACCCCATTGATTTCCTGCAGGGCAGGAATCCCCCCTTGCAGAGCAGCTTGCAAGATCAGGGTAAATCCATTTCTAGTAACAGACTTTCTCACGCACCCTACCCACTACATTCACGTTTCTCCACTTAGCCCACCTTGGCATCCTTCTGAACCCTGTTATTTTTCAAAACTATTTGGAGAATAGAGAGTGAGTTCTGAATGCCAGCAAGCAACTCTGCCTCTACTGAACCAAGCGGAGAAAGCAGTTGCACTTGAATTTCCCAATTGCCAATTCTCCTTTTTCCTTTCTAACACCAGAATGGAAAGAGCTTTTAGCAAAACTCTCTCTCTAACTTTAGCGGCTGCTCCAGTACCATATAAGGAGACGGGCCATTTCCAAGATCCAAAATATTGAGGGTTTCAGGAGGTTGAGAAAATGGCGAGTTCATATTTATACAGAAACAAGTGGTATGTCAATCCAAATCACAGAACCCGTGCAAAATGCACTCTCTGACAGGAACGCCGCTAAGCAGCGGCGTTCAGCGCCTCGTTTTTAGGCAATCGTCAGGTAAAGCTCCATCTAGAATAGATTGAACTAAAGCAAGATGACAGGAACTGGGAACCCCCAAATCCGAAAGAAATAGCTTTAGGGATGAAAAAGGAGAGTGTGTAAATAGCAAAAGTAGAGGTACCACATTTTGGAGCCAATTGCTTTAGAGAATAAGTGTGTTTTTAAAAACGGATTAAAATAGATTTCTGCAATGGAGGAGCAGGGAGTGCACAAACATTTTTATTTTTGCTCTCAAGCAAATCCCGGGACGTCATTCTCCCCTTGTACTCGGCCTTAGTGAGGCCGCAGCTGGAGTACTGTGTCCAGTTTTGGGCTCCACAATTCAAAAAGGATGTGGAGAAGCTTGAGAGAGTCCAGAGAAGAGCCACGCGCATGATCAGAGGTCAGGGAAGCAGACCCTACGATGACAGGCTGAGAGCCCTGGGGCTCTTTAGCCTGAAAAAGCGCAGGCTCAGGGGTGATCTGATGGCCACCTACAAGTTTATCAGGGGTGACCACCAGCATCTGGGGGAACGTTTGTTCACCAGAGCGCCCCAAGGGATGACGAGGTCGAATGGTCACAAACTACTTCAAGATCGTTTCAGGCTGGACATAAGGAAGAACTTCTTTACTGTCCGAGCCCCCAAGGTCTGGAACAGCCTGCCACCGGAGGTGGTTCAAGCGCCTTCATTGAACACCTTCAAGATGAAACTGGATGCTCATCTTGCTGGGATCCTATGAACCCAGCTGACTTCCTGCCCTTTGGGCGGGGGGCTGGACTCGATGATCTTCCGAGGTCCCTTCCAGCCCTGATGTCTATGAAATCTATGAAATCCTCAACCCACACACACACACACACACATGTGCATACAAACATACACATACACAAAAGGTCAGGCATTATCTAATGGTGTCTCCAGCCCTCCTGATGAGGCTGAGCTACTGTCCCTCTCATTTTAGTCACTGGATGAAACGGATGGAGGACAGGACAGTGGAGAAACTTGGGCATGGTTCCAGGCTCTAGGCTTGCAGTGTAGAAGCTATCTAACTGTGCCACATGCCAGTTAATTTGGGCTCTTCCTCCTGGCCCTATATACCTTCCTTTCTTGCCTGTCCATAGTGCTAGCATCAAAAGGAGCACCAGAAGGGTATCTGGATAATGCTTAACTTGTGGTGTGGTGCTTAAAATACTATACTGGTAGCAACATGCAAACAAGTGGTTTTCATAAGCTCCCAAAACTGTTTATGCACATGATCTGTTAAATAACAGAAATAATCTTGGGAACAGGGACCACAGCCCAGGTTTTAGGTGGCATAATACCTAAATGGATTCCTAGAAGAATGATCTGGTTCTGGTCCTAACTAATAATCTCTGATAACCAGAATGTTTTGTTACGGGCATCTTGTAGTGAATGGCTTTGATTTTGCAGTCCTGTGTTACACAATTGCTACCAATGTGGGCTTTGCCCACAGAAGTTCCAGTTTCCGGTATCTTAAGATTTACCCATAAAGCTTCATGAGGCTAACTATACTGCACCTGCCACCAACAGGCAGTGTGTTGGGAAATTCTATCTTTATCAGTCAGGGACCATGTATCTTATTACTTAAAGCTAAATGACAATAGCAAAATTATTCTGAATCAAGGGCACAAGTATCATAATTTTGGCATAATGTATCACTATTTAATACAATATTCCATATTTATATTTCACATATAGTTTGCAGAACACTTGACCTGAACATGATATTCCTTATTAATGCAGTAATGATGTTGCATCTATTATAGGAACCTTCTTCAAAAGCAAGTTGAGTATCATATTTATAAATGACAGGGAGAAAGAGGAACTAGGACATTCAGTGCACATCAAACATATTTTGTTAAACATGACGGACTTTAGCACTGGCATGGCGTGGAAGAGCTACTAGCTAAGAAGCATGAGGAAATGGAGATGGTTCTTAATAACCACTCTCTTTGGCAGGTCTTCAAGTCTCCAAAAAGTGGTTGTTTTAGATTTAAAAAAATGATGAGAAAGAACAAGGTGGTGCCATAATCCTGCTGGCAATATGTCATAATATCGTTTTGCCATAATCATGTTGGCAATATGTCAGATCATAAACATAGTAAGTTGTCCCAGGGAAGAAGTAGTACAAAACGGAGGCCCATATTAACCTGCTTTAACCCATGGTAGAGAGAGGACAGCAGATCCCCAGAACCCCAGAAAAGAGCCAACCAACCTTGGTGAACTGATGAACAATGATGTGCAAGCAGTGTCTCTTCATGTCCAGAGCTTGGGTCTTGTCAGCTGCCTCTAAAATCTAGAGCAGAAACATATTAAGACTCTAATTCTCTTTCTGCTTTGTTCAGGTAAACGTAGAGGCAAAAAAAAAAAAGAGTGCTATTACTATGCAGAGAGGGTAATTTCCCTGCACTTATAATTGCAGCCAGCTTTCTACTCCGGCCCCAACTTGGAACCTTTTCCAAATTTCTCTAAAATCAATGTTGTATTTTAAATACTGCATGTGGTTTTCGTCAGTAGATAATTTTTGTGAGATTTAAGCTAGCCATTGGGGCCAATTTATGTTCGGTGTCACAATGAGATGGATGCAAAAATCCTGTTCAGGGAACAATTCCCACAAGAAGTGGCTAGGCTGACTTTATACCAGCTAAGGATTTCCCCCAACCGAAAGGATTCTTGGATGGCCACAGTTTTCTTCTTTTAAACCACTTAAGCAGCACAAATGAACTGGAAAAGGTCCATGATCTTTAGGAAAAAAGCAGCTTGCTAACTGGTAACTATGGTTTGAGAATCGTGTCTGTGCATTCACAACTGTGGGTCTGATATCCCATCAATGACTTGATGGAACCTCCAGTGAACCCAAGTCCACAGGGACTGCATGGACATCCCCTATTAACACTGACATTCAGCCTCCAAGCCTGTATCCCAAGGAAGAATGTCTTGCATTCAAAAGCTTGTCTTATTCTATCCCAACTAAACAGTTAGCCTAATAAAAGAGATTACCCTAAAATAAATCCTTGCCTCCTGTAACATTTCTCGACCATCACAACATCACTCTTACACTACCAAAATGTGTGTGCTCTTTTATACAAATTCAGGCTTAATTTCCAGCCCCACACACCAAAACTCCCAAGAATATCCTTTTTTTTTTTTTTAAAACCTAACAGACAAATATATCTAGAATTATTAATTAAGATTTAGTAAAATATTTTGTCTGGAAATTTAAACAAATTGCAGACACTATTGAGTAGAGTTGAAGCACCATTTGAATTTCTTAAATATTTACTGTGTTTCCAATGGTTGCACTAAATTTAGTGAGTGCTAATTACCTGGAGCACATTTTCTGCTGTAACATTCATTTCCAAATTCTGCTTACAGTATGCTTGAAGTCTGTTGTTGAAGAAGCCATAATAATAAGGGGCCGCAAAGAGGTAGCTGTAAAGCTAGTCAAAGAAAATAAATGTGTGTTCCAAATTGCCAATGACAACAACGTAACAGCAATACAAATGCTACAGGAGAAAGGATGAATATGATAGTATAGTATTATAGGGCTGGGATGAACAGAGGCTTCTTGAAGACTACAAGCATATAAAATGGAAACCTGCAGGAGATACTGGATTTCCCCACATCAGTACAAATATATGGTAACTCCATTACGAGAGGGCAGGGAATGAAGCAATGGGTTTAAACTGTAGAAAAGCAGATTTAGATTGAATCTCAGAAAGGACTTCCTAAGTATAAGACCAGCAGGGGTGCCCAGGGAAGATATGGAATCTCCTTCAATGAAAAATTTAAAAAAAGATACTGGATAAACATGCGTCTGGAATGGTTTAGGCATAATGCACCCTCATTCATGCAGGAGACTGGACTAGATGACCCTTGAGATCCCTTCCAACCCAACTGTTCTATCCAAAGTCCTGCATTTTCTTTATATTTTGTTCAATCTGTACTAAGAGTAGGGCAGGCTAGGCAAAATTTCACATATATTTTTCACAACAGTTGCTCTTTTTTTTTTGTTTATGAATGAACACCTTGATTTGTATTAACGGGTTCATTATTCTCAACTGCCAAGATACGAGTTCTTATGTTTTCAGGAAGTATGTGTATGGGTACTGTGTGAGCCTGGATATTTAGGCAATGTCGTTCTTTCCTCTCAGTCTCACCAATTCTGTCCAGATCTGCCTGTCCCCATAATCCACTCAATGCTCCAGACTGGTGAGGGTACCGAGACAGGGAACAAGGTGCGCACAGTTCTTATGCTGTATATATCTATGTATTTCTAGGGCTGACTAAAGTTAAGACTGACTGGTTTCTGAAATCCTTACAAACCATGCTTCAAGTATCACATATCCCTCAAGAGGCAACCTATAAACCCAGGAGGCTGGAGCTCTGGGGAAAAGGGTGCTTAAGCTACTGGGGTACCTAATAGCTCAATGCTGGTCCTGGTACCTATGGTAGCTGGTACCTATGGTAGGTACCAGCTACCATAGGTAGGTCCTGGTACCTATGGTAGCTCAATGCTGGTCCTGGTACCTATAGTGCACCACTCTGTAGCAGAAAAACCCTAATTTGAGGACATGTGCCAGAGAGGCTGGGACCAGAGAAAGTGGCTGGAGCCTGCTGAGTTCCAGTCCTGAATCCAGTATGTGGGGACCCAAACCAGGCGAGTATCTCACAAAAGGAGCTTTATCAGGGCGTTGATATATTTTTTTTAATCTCATGTCACACTATAAACTCCATCTAAGTTGGTATCCTCACCAATACTAGCTTCCAACTGTTTCACTTCCTTGAATGTCTTCAGAGCAGCACATGAGGGAACCCACTCCATGCATATGGGATCAGCAAGGTTGCTGGCTCCCACAGCAGAGGAAATGGAGGAAGGTTCCCAGATACTCCTTCTTGCAAACAGGCTCCTACTGCTATAAGAAACTTTCCCATGGTTATGTTTATTCGCTCTCTTCTGTTACTGCGGCTGCTGCTTCTCTTCTGCTATAGTAACAGCAAGGTCCTTTCTGAGCAAGTACACTGCAGCTAGCACTGCTATGCTGCATATGAGGACCTCAGCCATCCCCAGAGTTTCTGTGAGCTTAAGCTGTCCAGAAGGAGACCTGGTCAGCAGCACAAGCAATGCGGTACCTTGGAAGGAAAATCCTTCACAGGAAATAGGAATGTGATGTCTTTGTCTTGCCTCATCCTCTTGCAGTCTCTCAAGGCAAGGGGGAATGAGAGAGAGGTATTCTGTTTTGTGAAGAGTTCCCTCCCCAACAAAAAAACCCCCAGAAAAAAAACAATGAATGTAGGAACAGGAGAAAGTCAGGAAAAAAAGATGCAGAGAAAGAAACTGAAACTTAGACTCTCCCTGCAAGAAAAAAAAAGGTGATTATAAGGACAAGCAAGATGCTAGATAGCATCCAGCAGAATCCAACACTGTAGGATGCCCTACCCTACCAGCTCAATTCATTCAGATATAAGGCACACCACTTTCTCCACTAGTGGGTATGCCCCAACTCAAAGTTAGTGAGACTTATAGTGCTTTATGGAAACCAAGGCAGTGAGTTCCAGCAGGCAAACCACTAAGCTAAAGGCATGAAGATATGAGTGGGGGAGGACTGGATTCAGTGCAGCTGAATAATAACTTACATCTGAATGAGGTGGGGATAAGGACAGAGGCAGACAGATGAAACAGCCTTCAAGATATGCTTGCACAGGTTTCCCTCACCAACCATGGGGATTAGGTTTTCCTGAAAGTTCCCATGGTTGGCAAAACTGGCAGGGCTGGGGGGCATTTTCTGACTGTACTCCCCACCTTCTCTGAAGCGCAGATACTCAAAACTATGGTTGGCAAAACCGTGGTTGGTGAGGGAAACCTGTAAAACAAATCAGTAATGCTAATTCCATTGCCTGGGACAGTAAAAACTGCTGGATAATGAAGCACGATTTTTTCAGATTGGCTGCCTAGAGGCAGACTTCTACATAAGATATCTGACATACAAATATGCCCCCGGGGAACTTTTAGAAATTGCCTTGCAGAGGTGAAACAACTGCCAAGTGCTCGTGGATTTACAAGCACTCACATTTGAAAACAGTGGCTCCAAATTTTGTTTCGCATTTGCTAGAGGTGCACCAATATATTGGTTGCCTATCGGATCAGCACCGATAAAAGGGAAATTGATATTGTTGGCTATTGGTTTTTTTTGGGCTTTTTTAGCCGATAATGTTCTCCAATAATTATGCCTTCTGTCTGGGGCCCCCAGATGCCTGGGTTCCCTTCCGTGAGCCAGGGTGACCCCGGATACACCCCCATCGCCTCTCTGGAGGGCTGGGCTGTAGGGGAACAGCTGTCATGGTATCTTAGGCACTGGCACAGCACAGTGCACACTGTGGGTTGGGGCGGAGGCGGGTGCTGTAAAAAAGGCACCAAATGCCACCAACATGACTGGGGTAGGGAGGAGCAGGTGGAGCTGAGCTGTCCGGGTCAGCCGGACCCAGTGTGACAACCTACAGTGCGACTCAACCAGCAGTTAATATTGGTTATTGGATCAGTATCGGCCGATATGGCTGGTTAATAATCGTTTATTGGTATCGGCCAAGAATTCTTTATTGGTGCACCCCTAATATCTGCACATGTCTTTTGCCATGGTTGAATTGATCTTCTAGATCAGGATGAGGTTTGCTTACTGAAACTCATGGCAGTTGCAACTGAAACAGAATAAATACTACACAAGTCCAGCACAACAAACACCCTGGTTTAGCAGACACCACATGGCCCTAGTGTCGGTGACAGCAGTGACCTCAGAATCCAGCATAAAATATGCAAGCAGAACTTACATGTTCTTAAAGTCCAACCTCTCTCTATTCTCTGCCCAACCTGAAATAATCTTGTGTAATGGCAATTATCTATTTCAACTGAACATCCTGGAGAAAGATCCTGTTTCTCCACACCCCTGCAATGCCAGAAGTTACACTTGTGCAAAATGAGCATACTCCAGTTCGGTATTTTCTTTTACATTCACACTATAGTGCCTGACAATGTTCCTAGCAAGGAAGACTCAGATCCAATATATCAAATTTGGGCATCTATAACAAAAGTCAGTTGAGGGATCCGTTTCAATTAGCTTTAAGGATACAGGGAGTCTTCAGGAGGCATGTTCACTTCACCATAATAAATGTATCTCAGCATTGACTCAAATGCTTGTTTACTGGGAACCATTTCACCTATAGAAATATTTACTTGTCCATCTTCTGGCATGAAAGAACGGAACATAGCTTCAAAGTAACTGGGAAAAGAAATACGACTCATGTAGCATACAAGTGTTAGAGATACAATTCTACAGACCACATTTAACCAACCCTACTCAAATGTGGCTACAAGGCACTATGACTTCTATACAAGTTACTTAAAACCATGCACCAAGTGAACGGCTGGAGCATGATAAAGCTGCCTCAAAGGTGCACTCTCCAGCCAAGAGGTGATAGTGAAGGCTGCTCTTTTACTTCCTCTACCCTACAACAGAGAAGCTGTCTCCAGCTCATGCTACCATGGGTATCAGCAGGAGGCAGTAGTGGCAGAGGCAGCCCTTGGCTGTCCATGGGGGCAACAGTGCACGCTCTCCTCACTCCCACTATCCTCACAGGCAGGCAGAGGCTGTGCTCGACAGCCTCCACCAGCTCCCAGCAGGGGAGAGGACAGGCTGCCTTTGACAACCACTGCTCCAGGCGCAGGTCCCAGTCCTACAGCAGTGCCTATCAAAGGGCAGCCCCCTGTGGTGGTGCTGGCAGCTGTTCTTGCTGGCACCACTGTTGTGAAAGCACCAGCAACAGCTTGTGCATTTGCTGCAGCAGCTGTTCCTGTTGCCAGCAGCATCACAGCTGCAGCAGCTCTTGCTATTATTCCCGCTGTGA